CAAATGAAAAAACTAAAAATATTGTTTATCCCTTAGCATTAAGGTAAATAAAAAGGTATTCAATTTCAAAACTCTAAATACATGTGTTTTTCTTTGGCGTAGCAACGCGCGCCAGGTATTTCTAGTGTATGTATAAAAACGTAAGGAACATACAATCCATATATGTATATATATCTTTCTTAGTTTAAAAATTCATCTCTTACATAAATGAAAAAAAAGAGATCAATTCAAGCATATACAACCTTTTCATGCCAAGTGTGGACAAATTCTCCAAAGGGCTAAAAACGGGCTAGGGGCAATTTCAAATTTATGTGGCCAAAAAAAGTATGTGGTAGCTAAATCTAGCCACCAAAGGGCTAAAACGGCAACACTGATGAACGTTAATACCGGATTGATTAATGCTAGTTCTACCAAGTCTCCTCCAAATATCTTCACTAGCTTTTGAAAATAGACCGAAAAAGGAACCTCAATTTTCATTTATAAAAAATATGCATTTGTATTTGTATGTATATGTAGATGAGATGATCACCACTGACTAATATGTCAAACATATACCAATTCAGACTGTAAATAAGGTTTTCGATTATATTTGCCTGAGAACCTCTTGGAGATTAAAAACTAAATTGCCCACATCTACATAAACTCTTTCTTTTTTCATCAGAATCGTTAACGGTTGAGAAAGTAACCTGAAGGTTTACAACAAAAGATAATATTTCCTTCTCTAACGACGGTTTCACACGGGTTTTTATCAAGACAAGAGCCCAATATTCTTTCATCACATCAAAAGTGAAACAAATCTGATCATAAACATGATTTTTTAGGATAGCTCTCAATCCCTGCGCCACATATCGGAAGACAAACACACTGGTCCTTCTACAAACTTTTGCACAAAACNTTGTTACTAATATGTGTTTTAAAAGTGAAACAAATCTGATCATAAACATGATTTTTTAGGATAGCTCTCAATCCCTGCGCCACATATCGGAAGACAAACACACTGGTCCTTCTACAAACTTTTGCACAAAACAACAATCATTCCATGCGATTTCAAAATCTGGGAGAAAATGGTTCTCAATTGAATGATTCTTTCGATTTTATATATGTATAAATGTAGGTGTATAAAATTTCATTACCTTAAAATAAGTGGTTCCATAGATAATCGAAACCGAATTTCAGTTTGTATGGGCGGAGTCACGCCCCTTTTTCCAAAATCTACGACTCTTCGCCATAAGTACGGTATTGACAACATATATTGCTGTGTCAAATTTCAAGACGTTAGCATATGCGGTTCCAGAGATAAACGGTATGAGAATCTCAGTTTGTATGGGCGGTGCCACACCCTCTTTCCCATTATCTACCACTTTTCGCCATAAGTACGCTATTGATATCATAAATAGCTGTGTCAAATTTCAGGACGTTAGCATAAGCGGTTCCAGAGATAGGCGGTNTAGATAATCGAAACCGAATTTCAGTTTGTATGGGCGGAGTCACGCCCCTTTTTCCAAAATC